AAGCTTATCATTTAGATCCACTTTTGAAGTGCCTTTGCACTACCTCATGGAGAACCAGAAGAATGATGACACTCATTTATACATGAAGATGATACTGTGGGGTATTGTTCCACAAGAGTAATGAAGGATGTGACCCCTTCCATTTGAAACTGTTCCTATGAATGGGCTGGTGGGGGTGAGAGATACAAATTGGCCAAACAGGGATCCAAACTCCAGCTTTAATGAAAGCATGGCCCACTTTACCAAATGATCTGAATTTTTTCTAAGGCAGCAATTTACTAAAAACACTCACACAAACTCTAAAATGGCAGCTTACTTTCAAAATGATGAAGTTATTTCAAGAGTGTAGTTGAATCCATAACTAAGTCTGACTCCTTATATAATTATGGTATCATTATATTTGGTTAAAATCATTTTGGAGAAGTTAAATTCTGGCAATTAACTTTTTAAAAAGGTTATTCCATCTAAAGAATACACTTTTAAAAAGATGTATTTACTTGAAATTCAGAGTGACAGAGACACAGAGAGATCTTCCATCTACCCATTCATTCCCAAATAGCTGCAATGGCCAAGTCTGGACCAGGTGAAGTCAAGAGCCAGGAGCTCTATCCAGGTGTCCCACAAGGGTGGCCGGGACCCAAGCACTTGGACTATGTTCCATTACCTTCCCAGGCACATGAGCAAGGAGCTGGATAGGAAGCAGAGTATCTGGGATGCAAACTGGCATTCCAATATGGGCTGCTGGCTTTGCAAACAGTGGTTTAATGTGCTGTGCCATAACACTAGCCCCTAAAGAACAGCTTTTGAATTTGAACACTTTACTTAGTATAGGGCTAATCTTATGTGTATAAAGTTAATTGAAAATAAATCTTAGTAAAAAATAAGAATGAGTATATAAAAGGAAAGTGGGAGAAGGGTGGAAGTGTAGGTGGGAGCGTGGGTAGAGTGGGAAGAATCACTGTTTCTAAAGTTGTATTTTTTTAAATTTATTTTTGAAAGACAGAGTTACAGAGAGAGGTAGAGACAGAGAGAGAGGTCCTCCATCCGCTGGTTCACTCCCCAGATGGCCACAATGGCCAGAGCTGTGCCGATCTGAAGGCAGGATTCAGGGGCTTCCTCAGGGTCTCCCACACAGGTGCAGAGGCCCAAGGACTTGGGCCATCCTCCACTGCTTTCCCAGGCAGTAGCAGAGAGCTGGATCGGAAGAGGAGCATCCAGGACTAGAACCAGCGCCCATATGGGAGGCCGGCGCTTCAGGCCAGGGCTTTAACCTGCTTCGCCAGAGCACCAGCCCCTCTAAAGTTGTATTTATGAAATGCCTGAAGTTTGTATACATTAAATAAAAGGTTCCTGGGGGAAAAAAGGAAAAACATAAAATAAAAAGGTTATTAACAACCAGCTAGTTACCATGGAGCAATTACATTACAAATAAAACACAAAGAACATTTTAGGTATTTGCATGGGCTCCAACATCTGTTCCAAACTCGACTTTTCAAATCGAGAGTCAGTGTGTTTGGATATTTCTGAGAGACATAACATGACTTTAACCCCACACATTAATTTGTTAGTATATTACAGCATGCTATTTGTCTTGGCAGCTTCTGTTTTCAAAAACTAACAGAAGATGAGTTGTAAGGGAACTTTTGTATATAGTTAGGAACATCTGGTCTAAAAATTTAAAGACTTCTGGTTTTGGGAGAACAAATTGAAGGAAATTCAGAAAGAAATAAATTAATTCTTATCTGAGGCAAACATGTGACCAAGTGAAGGGTCTTATTCCAGTGAACTGTTTCTTAGAATGTTTTAGAACCTTTACATTTTAAATTTTGAATCTTGAGATTCCTAGGAATAGGCAAATCCTATCAATCTTAGAGTCAAGGCTGCTCAAAATATAAAGAGGGAACTTAGAAAGAGAAGATAAAGATATTTCTTATTTCCTCCCTTTTGTACGCCTCTGTTTTCATATAAAACACAGAAGGGACAAGGTTTGAATAAGAAAGTAGTCACCGAGGCTCTTGTCATGAGCTGCCAAGGCTATGGGAGCCTCTTGAGTTCACAAACTCCAACCTTATTTAGACAAGGCCATAATCAAAGTTGAAGTTCTCTCCTCCCTTCAGAGAAAGGTACTGCCTTCTTTGATGGCCTGTTCTTTCTGCTGGGATCTCACTCACAGAGATCTTTCATTTAGGTCATATTTTTTGCCACAGTGCCTTGGCTTTCCATGCCTGCGAAACTCTCATGGGCTTTTTAGCCGGATCCGAATGCCTTAAGGGCTGATTCTGAGGCCAAAATTCTGTTTAGGGCATTTGCCATTCTATGAGCCTGCTGTGTATTCTGCTTTCCATGTTGGGTCATTCTCCCCTTTATAATTCTGGTCTTATTTATGTGACCCCTTTGACACTTAATTCTATCTTTATGATCAATTATGAACTTAAACTGATCACTTTAATTAGTAAGATGGCATTGGTACATGCCAGATTAATGGGATTTGGAGTCCCATGGCATGTTTCTAGCTCTACCATTTTGTCACAGTGTGTTAAGCAACCACCTGAGATGCCAGCATCTCATATAAGTACTGGTTTGAGACCCAGCTGCTCCACTTTCAATCCAGCTCCCTGCTAATGTTCTAGGGAAAGCAGGAGAAATGGCCCAAGTGCTTGGGCCTCTACACCCACATGTGAGACCTGAATGGAGTTCCAGGTTCGTGTCTTCAGCCTGGCTCAGCCCTGGCTGTTGCAGCCATTTGGGGAATGAACCTATAGATGGAAAACCATCTATCTATCTATCTACCCACCCACTATCTTTCAAATAAATAAATAAGAAAAAAAATGAGAAGAAAGTGAGCTGAATTGAAAACAGAAGTCCAAGTTTAGAAGCCTACATTGATTCTTCATCCCTTTACTTGGGTGTCAGCCATCTCTGGTTGCTGATTCAGGAGAAAAAAATGCAGAGTAGTTCTTCAGTGCTCACTTCTTCCTCATATCTCTTTCTCGCCATTTCTACTTGCAAGGTAGACCAAGAATCCAAAGTCCTTCAACCAATGAAGATCTAATTGTTTACATGACAACTCCCAATTCTGGATGTCAATTAATATGAGGCAGAGTTGCTTCTTTCATTAATGTTTCTATCATACAATAGGAGATGATGAGCCTGTTGCAGTAGAAATAGCACTGGATCTGATGTTCTAGGTCCTTGGCTCTAGATGAAGCTCTGCTACCTACTGGTTGTATTTATGCTATTTAAAAATAATAATGGTATCCTTATTATTGTTAAATAATATAAGAATCCTAGAGTATTTACAGTCTGATACCTTGCAATAAATATTAAATGAATTTCAAGCTCCAACTGGTCATAAATACAAGAAGATGGATGTGAATGGGAAGGAGAGGGGAGCTGGATTCTAGTCTAAATTTTCTACATTCCTGCTTCTTTTAAATTCATTCTAGTTGTACCTCTAAGGAGTAATATGTTTAGAAAACAGAAATAGTATAACTACTTTAACTTAAGTGGCAGGAACATTTGGTGACAACATAAAGGTACAAGGCATATCGGAATCCTAAAGTTCCATGGTGCTTGTGAAGCTCCAGGTACTGGGCTATGGCATGGTAGATACAATGGAACCTTATTTCAGCGGTAACATTTTTCTTCCTGATGATCTCATATATGTATGCATCAGTATATTTATATGATTGACTAATGAAACAGCCCTAATGGCAGAGTGAAGGAGGGATTATTAGCAAACAGATCCAGATTAAATGGCAGTCTCAAGCCATTGAGTCATATATAACCCTTGAAGATACTATCAAAAATCTATCAAAAATTTATTTTAGGCCACTTGTCACTTTGATTAAAAAAGATTTGTGCTTATAAAAAAGATTGATCTGGAGAGGAGATATTTGTCTTTTTAATTATTGCTATTATTTCGCCTGCCCAACATTCTATCATATGTCTTCTGAGGGATGAGGAACCTAATTGAGATGATTTGAGAGGGCTTGCCTAACACCCCTCTCTGTGCAGGGACATAGGACGAAGGTGACCCAGGCTTGGTCCAGGGCCCAGATACTACATGTTCAGAGACTCACATATGTTCAAAACTGACCCAGAGTTCTTCCCATGTTGCTTTTGCCATACCTGTAAGAAAAGACATTTTTTTTCCTTTGAGGTTGCTGGCAGCCAATTTGTCAACTATATGGCATGATTCCAAGATGAATAAAGTTTGATGGCATCCTTGGATTCATTTGGTGCTGCTGTGCCTCTTCAGATTCGCACTTAAACTTGTCTGCTTATGAATGAATATTGGGCCGGCACCGTGGCTCACTAGGCTAATCCTCCGCCTTGCGGCGCCGGCACACCAGGTTCTAGTCCCGGTCGGGGCGCCGGATTCTGTCCCGGTTGCCCCTCTTCCAGGCCAGCTCTCTGCTGTGGCTCAGGAGTGCAGTGGAGGATGGCCCAAGTGCTTGGGCCCTGCACCTGCGTGGGAGACCAGGAGAAGCACCTGGCTCCTGCCATTGGATCAGCGCGGTGCGCCAGCCACCCGCAGCGTGCCGGCCGTGGCGGTCATTGGAGGGTGAACCAACAGCAAAGGAAGACCTTTCTCTCTGTCTCTCTCTCTCACTGTCCACTCTGCCTGTCAAATAAATAAATAAATAAATAAATAAATAAATAAAAATAAATCCATAAAAAATGAACGAATATTATTCATTTGAGGTGAAGCCATTTTGAATTGTGTAAATTTCACTTGCCCTCAAGAAAACAAAGTGTAAGGGAATTATAGCCATCATTAATGAATCTGATTTTGCTAATATTCATTGTCATGTTTATTATTTAAATGTGACAGCATATCTAAAATAATGTTTTCTCAACAAGAGAAAACTTGTCTAACTCCTCTAAGTTAGCCAATAAATATCCTCATAGAGAGTTCACAGAAAATAGATCATAATGCTACTATCACTACTATAGTTTTGGTGAGTGTCTTAAAACAAATAAAAGCCACATGCACAAAATTTATCAGATAATTTTACTAGAATTTAGGAAGGAAGATATGATAACAGTGAAGTTTTCACAAAGAAAACCTGTACACTGAAGTCTACCCAAATAAAATTCATGTTTCTATTTCAGTCTCAAATGGCCTGGGTATCAAAGCAAGGCACTCCTCTTCCGACAAGCATCTGTCAAGTTGTCAGTGATATATCCACCTTTCCAAGACCTTTAACTCTCTGCAACACATCTGAGCAATCCCAGACACCAATTCGGTAAAACTTCTTCCGTTTCTATGGTTTTCCTCATCCAGCTGAGAATGCTGCAGGCTACCACAAAACTATTCACCAACCATATGCTCTGGTCCATACAGCTTTCTTCTTAAATTCTGGGAGACCTCTCAAAGACAGCAGGGTGGCTATGGGGATAAAAAAAAATAAATAAGTACACTGTTGCATTTGGTGGGGCTGCATTTGAAAAGATTATTTTGATCAAAGAATATCCAAATAGATCTTGGCTTTTTGTTATTTGGCTAACTTATTTCAATCAAGCCTTTGGCAACATTTTAATGGTAGAAAAGCATTTAGGGGAAAGGATTTTTTTTAATAAGTTACCCAGAAACAGTTAATGGGAAATTTTGCAGAGTTAAAATGAAAACTGACTTCCAGGATGCCAGTGATGTTCATTTTCTTGATGTGAGCACTGATGACAAGGGTGAGCTCCTTTTGTATAAATGTACTTAGATTTGTACCCTTTTATAAATGAGTAAGATATTGCCATTAAATGTTTAATTAAAGGTCAAAAAGAAAACTAAATTATCTGACCCTATCATAAAAACCATACTTGAACATGCATCCATGAGTCCACATTTTCTCTAATCTGTCACAGATCCCTTAGGGATCAATTTAAAGTAGGAGACTTGTGTGTAATCCCTTTAGGTAATTTATTATATATTTATTTAAAAAATTAATATTAATATATTGAAATTTTTTATAATATAACAATGTAAACCAGAGTTACACAATCATTGTTCATGATAATCAAGTGAAGATGTGCTCCTAGACCCCAAAAGATTCTTTTCCTCATCAGTAGCAGTTGTTTGGGACATAGGAAACTTGGAGCATCCATGGTATTAGGGACTCACAGCCATTAAGAAATTAATTAAAACTTCCTGGGGCAAATGAACAGAGGAAACCCCAGTAACAAATCTCTAGGGATGAATTAAGTGAAAATACAAGGGAAGTTCGAAAAGTTCAGGGAAAATGGAATTAGATCCCTTGCATGTATGGACTTAAAGTAATTTTTTGCACCAGAATAAACATCTTTTTATTCCATTTTTCCATAAACTTTTTGAAGTTTTCTCAAAATTCTGACCACAGACTTGATTTTCAATGAGGTTCTATGGTTTATCAGAATCATGTTGGGGCACTGTTCGACCATACACATGCCTCCACTCAATTTGGGGGGAGGGAGAAGGATTAGAATCAGTGAATTTCTCTCATTTGGCAAACAATAAGTTATACCATACTTAATGCAAAATATGGCTCATATTATGACTCTAAGCTGGACAAATAACTAATCCCAGAGTAGGCCAACAGGTAACTTTATGGAGCTGAGATTTTTTGGTGGTGTATCTTCAGTAAGCAAATCTGAAGACATAGATGACAAGTAAAAGTTGCATAAGGCCACAAAACCAATGTCCCAATGACTTCTCAGACTTGAGCAAAGGAATCTACATAACTTTTAAAGAAATATTTCTATGCTTGTGGATCTTATAGTCATTGGTTTAACAAAGTCAGTAGAGAAGTACAAGGGACATGAAAGGCAGCTAAATATTTGAAGCATGGGAAATATCTGCTTTCCTTGGCAAAACACAATGCAGCTGTTAAAAATACTTATAAAGCCAGCATAAGAACAGCATTTAATGCTTTAAAAAATAATGTAAAAACTAAAAAGGCAATTTCAAGCTTTCTGTGCAAAATATTTCAAGTGGTTATTATTATAAATAATATGTTAAAATAATGTTCACCTACAAAAGGAGGCAAAAATTTCTCATGGAAAATATCAAAATTGCCTTCGGCCAATTGGACTCTGACTGATTCTTTGCTGCTTTTTTCTTGTCTGAATTCTCCAAATTTTAATTAAAATAATATTTTATGATCGTGATAAACCATTTTAAAACTATTTAAACAAAACTAAATTTAAAGGCCATAGAACTGCTTCTAAATCCATTTTCTTGTTAAAATGTCATATTGATGACAGTTCCTGATTACTTTTTTCACCTAAACCAAGAGAAGCCCTTTCAGAAACCAACATGTACTATAATGCCAAACTGCATCACAGACAACAACGGATGGTTTTTCCTGAGTTGGGTATAAAGCATGGAAGAAATTACCTTTCAAAAGATCGCTGGAGTTTGCTGAGAGGGCTTCTTTGGGGCTTTCCATGATGCTGAACATCCAGTCGATGAACTAGGATGACAAGGAAGAACAGCGTCAGTGAAGAGAACCCCCCTGTTCCCATGGTCTGCGTTCATGAATTAGGATGACAAGGAAGAACAGCGTCAGTGAAGAGAACCCCCCTGTTCCCATGGTGGGCGTTCATGAATATCAGTGCAACAGTCCCTAGGCAATACCTGCCTGGGTTGGGGGAGACAAGATGAATCAAGGATCAAGCACAAAAAATGGTGGAGCTGGGCACAAGTCCCATTTAGTCAAATGATCTGGAAAAGTCAAACTTCCTTCCTTTGCTGAAGATCCCGACCCGGCACAAGTTTCAAGAGTGAGGTCACATGAGCCCAGAGATCCCCAGGGTTAAGAACCTTGACGAAGACTCTTAATGAATTGTAGAGTCAAGATTTGAACCTATGTACGCCCGGCTTTGAAGTCATAGATGTTTTCTTTCTATTCTGCTGCTTCCTACCTGGTTCCATATGCATTTTGGCCCAGTCTCCTAGGCTAGCAGTAAATAGGGAACACATTCATATATAAGCTTTTGTTTCTAAAACAAAACATATTTCTTTAGATGAGAGTAGTTTGTGCCCAAGTGGATATGAAACAGAAATTTTAGATGCAAGAAAAAAATGAATAAAATATTTATTGTGTAGAGCCAACTATATTAACTGTGAATAATTCTTGCAAATGAGGTAGTATTTATGAGTTTGATAGATCTCCCTGGATGCAACCAAATTGTTTTTGAATTAGATACAGGGTAATTTCATAGAAGACCGAATGTTACTAATCTTGATTCAATAAACACACACACACACACATTAGTGAAGGTACTAGGCATTTTAACTTCAGACTTGGGAAGCTGGGTTGAAGAAAGAGTAAAATAAAGAGGAAAAGAAAATATTCATAGTTCTCTGCATTAATTAATGTTTTTCCCTTTGTTTTTCTGAATTTTGTTTTATAGTAATCTGCTGGTAACTAAATAAATCAAGCATTACAAATACATAATTGATACAAGATGTCTGTACTAAAGTCCAAAGTGAACATAGTATTCCAGTCCGGAAATAACATGAGAGGAGATGACATTTAAATTTAAAATGGAACATAAAACACAAAATTTGGGGCAACAATACTGATGATTATCAGGCTTAAAGGAAAAAAAAAAGACATTTCAACTGAGACAGTCTGTGCAGTTATAAGTACACAGTTCAGAAATATTTTAAAGATTAATGTTCAGATTTCAATAGTAAGAGAACGTTAGTTTTAAGCTTTCAACTTCATAAAAATCAGTTTGATTAAATGGTATTCAAAAAAGAGTCTCCCAACCAAATATACTAAAGATAGGCCAGAGCCAAATATAGAAAACCTAGTATCTACACATGCTCTGCACAACAGCTAGTAGATAGGGAATTTCAATATTCAAAAACAAAAGGTGTTTGCTCAGTTTGGTTTTCCCTGAGGGCAAGGGTGATATTAGACCTTTTCAAAACTCCTTGTGGCATCTAGCTTAGCTCAGGGACACACAGGTGCCTAGAGCATGTCTGTGAATGAAATGAGCTATGGGGAACCTTAAACGTGCCTACAAGAAGGTAGATGCTTTCCACCCATAATTCTCCTCAGATGAGTTCCCTAACCCACCCATGCACTACTGCTCAGTGCCCTCCCCTACTCATGACCACTCTGTCCAACTTATCACACCATCTTGCCATCTTGAATTTGCCCCTGTCTTCACTGAGATTCAGAAATCTCTGAGATTTACTCGTCCTTTCTTCTCCAGGATCAAAAACATATGGGCTTTCATGAAATGAATGACCGTGTGGGTTCTTCTCTCCACCTCACTCCCGACCACAAGCAGGTTGTTGCTGTTGCTACTGTTTTTCATCAGCAGGTGCCCCGAGCCTAGGCCAGTCTGTCTCAGACTCTGCGGTGGCTGAAGTGTGGAGCTGAGTATGAAAACTTGTGGTGTGATTCACGTTTCACTTAACTCCATCTCAATGCTACAACAGAAGCTGCTGAAGAAAAGAGTAGTCTGTCCTGCCAAGCAGCTGGGTGCCAACCTCACCTTCTGAGTCTGTTCCTTCCATGGCTCTTTCTGCAGCAGAAGAAGCATGCTACTTGGAAGCAGAGTGAGAACCTCCTGCAGAGTAACCTTGTGCATTGGACTCCTGCCAAGGAAGCTTGATGATTGCTCGGCCTGGTCATTCTCCTGATGCCATGGCAACCAACTGGCACTGAGGCCAAGGAGGAGAGGGGCAGCATGGTCTGCCCATGCAACCACTGCAGTTGCAAATATCAGCAACAAGAAGTCCAAAGCCTACAAAGGAAATTGGAATAACATTAGGTCATATGTTTTAACAATGCAAACTAATGTCCTCAAACACTCAGCTCCCATCTTGAGGCGATGTCATCTTTGCATTCACTAAATGGCTTTTCCTGCCCCATTTCTACCCCAGAGAAACTGCGCTGAATAGCAAACTCAGTGTTCAAGATTAATGAAGAGACATTTTAGGACTTTGGAAGGTTTTTGAGGTTCTCTTAAACGCAGATAGAAGATCTAATAGTTATCACCACCAGCCTCACATGGTCCTGATGTATACCCATCTGCAGAGCCAAGTGATTGTGAGACCTAAGTGTGATCCAGTTTCATACAAGTCTGAGCAGAAAAGCAGCTGCCTTCATCACCCCTCTCCTATCCTAAGGCAGACAACAAGGATGCACAGAATTATGTATTGGGACTCAGTATAGGGCTGGTTAAAAAACAAAAACAGAAAACACCTGGGCATATCCCAACAGTCCCAGTCCCTAGGTCTGTGTTTGCAGACAGAGCCTTCAGATTCTCTCTGCAGTGCCACAGATCTGTGCCTTAATGTGTGGATTTGTTTCAGCATGTATCACTGCTGGGCCCTGAAAGTACCCAGAGCCTGGTGACTGTGAGACCCAGGTGTGATCTAGCTTGGTGCCAGTCTGGGTAGTAAATGGGCTTCCTTTATCCCTATTATTTCCCTATTCTTGGATAGACAAGGAAGAGAAAAATATCAGGTCTGTGTCTTGGGACTCAGTGGCAGGCTGGGGAAACCAAGCGTTGGGCAAATCCTAACAGTCCCCATTCCAAGGTCAGTACCTAATGGTGGGGCCCCTGGACCTGTCACAGTGCCAAGTGAATCCTGTAGCCATAGTTGATCAGATCTATATCCCAGCTACCATGATATTTGGCTGGTTGAAGTGGTCTCAAGTTATGAGTCCATCTCCATAGCAGAGAGACCATAACAGTATAGGCTTTGGTCCTACCTTCATCCTGCATTGGCCTCAGCAGGCTCCAGACTCTAGGTATGATCTAGCATTACAGCATTGGTGGCCACAGGACCATGCACCTAGGCCTACCCTGACCCCAAGAAAAGATTTGTGGGGATGAATAACTCCTTTTCTAAACAGTTTACCAGTTTAACAAACACATATACTGCAGATTTTGGGAAAATTGGAGTTTGGGTCATCCTCTAGCACTGAAACAGTGACAAGACTCCACTAACACAACTGTGGCAAACCTCACCTCAGGCTGCTCACTTATGTTAAAATAGCAGAAGTGCCCATGGGCTCACAGAAAATAGGCAGACTTCTTAGAATTTCTGGAAAGATAGTCATAAATGAAGCAGGAATATGGAAACTGTATAAATAAACAATCCTTCAATGTGAAGATGACACCAAATGCTAACAAGCATCAAGAACTCTTTGTAGGGGCCTGTGTTGTGGCACAGAGGGTTAAGCTGCCACCTCTGACACTGGCATCTCATATGGGCACTAGTTCATGTCCTGGCTGCTCCACTTTTGATACAGCTCGCTACCTGTTAATGTGCCTGGAAAAGCAGCATAAGACAGCCCAAGTGTTTGGGCCCCTGCCACCCACATGGGAGACCTGGATAGAGTGCCAGGCTCCTGGCTTTGGCTCAACCCAGTCTCAGCTGCTGTGGATATTTGGAGAGTGAACCAGCAGATAAAAGATCTCCCCACTACCCCTCTCTAACTTTGCTTTTCAAATAAATAAAATAAGTATTTTTTAAAAAAACTCTTAGCAAACTATGATATAACCAAATAAAAAATTAAAATAAATAAAGTGCCAGGGATGTAGAAATCAACATTTCTAAATGCTTGGGTGAAGAATTTAAAATAAATGTTTTTAAAAAACTCAATGAATTTAAAGAGAATACAGAGAAAAGTTTGATGCTGTATCAGAGAGAACTTGACAGAGAGATAGAAGTAATTAAAAAAAAAACAACAGAAATCCTTCAAATGAAAAGCATATTTACTGAAATTAAAAATGTGATAGAAGGCATCAACAGCAGAGCTGATCAAACAGATAAAAGAATCAGCAAGCTTCATGACAGGCTACTCAATAATACACAGGTTGAGGAGAAAAATAAAATTAAGAGGCATGAAAAAACTTACAGGAAATTTGGGACAGCGTGAAAACAGTAAATATCTAGGTAACTGGGGCTCAAGAGTAGTGTTAGAATGCCAAAAGGGTAGACAGTGTTTTCAAAGAGGTAATTACAGAACACTTCCCAAACTTACAGAAAGATATAACTATCCAGGGATAGGAAGGTCAGAAGTTACCAATTAGATTCAATCCAAGTTTGTCCCAAGATATATTATGATCAGGCTCTTCAAGGTTAATGATAAAGTGAGGATTCTCAATGCTTTAAGAGAAAAAGTAAAAACAGATAAAAGGGGTCCAAATTTAACTGACTGCAGACTTTTCAGCATCAATCTAACAGGCAAGGAGGGAGTGGCGTAAGATTTTTGCAGTACCAACAGAAAAAAACTGTCAGCCCAGAATATAATACCAAGCAAAGTTAACCTTCAGAATTGAAGGAGCAATAAAAACATTCCAAGGCAAACAAAAGCTGAGAGGATTTATCATCACTAGATCTGTATTATAAGAAATGCTAAGGAGATACCTAAAGAAAGAGATATTACTGACTAAGAATAAAACATTAGAAGGTAAAAAACTAAGAAGTAACATTAGTATACAAATTAAAAATGTTCTAATACAGTGCACATGGTATATAAACCACTACGTCTTTACTAGGACACTAAAAAGCAATAAATAATAATAAATACATTAATGTGTTAACAGACAACACAGAAAGAAAATGGAACATCAAAAGTTCAAATTATGGGGAGAAAAGGAATGCAAGTGTAAAGTTCTTTATTTGTACTTCTTATCTCTTGTTTCCAATCCAATTTTTACAGTCATGTAAAGTTGAAATCAATTTCAAAATAGCTTGTTATAACTAAAATACAGTTTTTAAGTCTCACGGTAATCATAAAGCAAAAAATTGATAACAGACAACAAAAATAATAACCAAGCTATCAAAACACCCTACTAGTGAAAATTACTTAGAGAGAAAATGACTAAGATAGAAAAGAACTATAACAAAACAAAATCTTTAAATCTTATCTACCAATAATTACCTTACATGTAAATGGATGAAACTCACCAATTAAAAGACAAAGAGTAACCAAATGGCTTAAAAAAAAACCCAAAATGAGATCCAACTATATGCTGCTTACAAAAAAATTCATCTTACCTCTACAGATACACGTGAACTGAAAGTGAAAGGATGGAATAGTGCATTCCATGAAAATGAAAAAAAAAAAAAAAAAAAGCCAGCTATAGCCATTATTATATCAGATAAAACTTTAAAATCAAAATCAGTAAGAAGAAACAGATATCATTATATAATGATAAAGAGTTCAATTCAGGAGAAGAAAATAATAAGTATAAATATATGTGCATGCAAGATTGAAACATCCAAATACGGAGGCAAAATATTAATAGACCTAAATGGGATGATAGACTCCAATATAATAATAGTAGACTTTAAGAAGATAAAGACAGAGTTTAAAAAGAAAAAGATACAGGCCAACATCCTTGATGAGCACAGATGCAAAAATCCTCAACAAAACAATAGCCAATTGAATCTGATAGCACATTAAAAAGATTATTGATGCTGATCAACTGGGATTCATGCCAGGGAGGTAAGAATAAAAATAACTAAGAAGATTCCACATAGCAAAGGAATAACAGAAATGAAGAGACAAACAATAGAATGGGAGAAAAAATTTGAAAGATACGTATCTGACACGAAATTAATAATCAGACTAACGAACTCAAACATCCTAGAAGCAAAGAACAAAGAATTCAATTTTTAAAATGGGCAGTAGATTTAGATAGATATTTCTCAAAAGGAGACACACATGGTCAATAGGTACTTGAAGAAAAATGTTCAACATCACTAATCATCAGAGAAATTAGAATCAAAACCACATTAAGGAATCATCTTACTCCAGATAGACTTCTGTTTTATTAAAAAGACAAAAGGTAGTAAGAGCTGGCCAGGATGTGGAGAAGAGGCCACCACTGGTGGTAACGTAAATTAGCACAACCATTGTGGAAAACAGTATAAAGACTTCTCAAAACACTAAAAATAGAACTACCATGTGACCCAGCAATCTCACTGTTGAGTAAACATCCAGAGGAAACCAAATCATTCTGCTGAAGGGACATTTGCACTCCGTGTTTACGGAAGCACTATTCACCATAGCTGAGAAGCTGAAACACTCAAGTGTCCATCCGCTGATGAATGGATAAAGAAAAGGTGATACATATATACAATGAAATACTATTTGGCCATATAAATGATGAAATTTTGTCATTTGCAGGAACATGGGTGTAAGTGGGGTCATTATAGTAAAGGAAATAAACGAAGTACAGAAAGACAAGTACCACGTGATCTCTCACTTGTAAGTACAGTCTAAAAAATTGACCTCATAGAAGTTGAGAATAAAATGATAATTACTGGAGTCTGGTGAGAGTAGGATGGAGGGAGGGTTAATTCATGGGTACTCAGTTACACTTAGATGTAATTAAAAAGTTCTGGTGTCCTGTTGCACAGTGGAGTGGTGACAGATAAACATAATGTACTATATATTTCTCTAACTAAATGAAAGGATTTTTGAATGTTTTCACCATAAGGAAATACTAAATATTTGAGGAGAAAGATATGTTTACTTTGCTTAGACGTTAAACTATACCTATATTGAAAAATCACATGGTGGCCGGCGCCGCGGCTCACTAGGCTAATCCTCCGCCTTGCGGCGCCGGCATACCAGGTTCTAGTCCCGGTCGGGGCGCCGGATTCTGTCCCTGTTGCCCCTCTTCCAGGCCAGCTCTCTGCTGTGGCCAGGGAGTGCAGTGGAGGATGGCCCAAGCCCTTGGGCCCTGCATCCCATGGGAGACCAGCATAAGCACCTGGCTCCTGCCATCGGATCAGCGTGGTGCGCTGGCCGCGGCGGCCATTGAAGGGTGAACCAACGGCAAAAGGAAGACCTTTCTCTCTTTCTCTCTTTCACTGTCCACCCTGCCTGTCAAAACAAAAACAAAAACAAAAACAAAAAACAAAAAACGAAAAATCACATGGTAACCCATAAATACGTACAATCTTTATGTCAGGTAAAATTTAAAAATTTTTAAATACTCCTTATCTTTATGTGTAATCTGTGTTTTTAGATTTTTGTAAAAAAACAGAGAACATTAACAAAAAGTTAGGAAATCAGAAGAAAAAGAGGACAGATCATAAAAACTTTCAAAAGGATCCATTCCTCTGTCTAAAGAATGGACCTTGAGTTTTAACTGCTCATTTCCATGCTAGTTGCTCTCTATTTGGGTTAAGAAGGCCTAAACTTTGTCAAGGAACATTAAAGTTGGTTTTTAAATTGGGACACCATCTGTTAAAATTCCTAATCTCACAAATTAAAAACTCAAAAAGCAACTCTTCAGAAAAACTGGGCATAATTTTAAAGAACATCTCATCACATATAAATTTTATTCCCATAGTAAACAAGACAATCATGAAGCATGCCCACAGGAAAAATTCTACTATTAAAAAAATGCACAGTAGCCAGCCACATCGAGTAAATGAGGGAAGAAGCAAGGGAATAGCTGTCTTCATCTTATATATTAATCTTTGTATTTTTAAACTCGCCCATTATCTGTGGTTCCTACTTTTGGGGAATCCTAGGTCAGATTGCGGGTTTAATGAAATCTCTCTACCGATATGTGCAAACATGTACCTAAGAACTGGTACACACACGTTATTCACAAGCACTTCAGGAACCTCTGCAATCCAGATTTTTTTTTCAACTTTCATTTAATAAATATAAATTTCCAAAATACAACTTTTTGAATTATAGCAGCTTTTCCACCCATAACCTCCCTCCTACCCACAACCATCCTATCTCCTACTCTCTCTCCCATCCTATTCATCATCTCTTCCTCACGATTTATTTTCTTTTTTTTAAATATTCTTTTTTTCTAATTTGACAGAGTTAGACAGTGAGAGAGAGAGACAGAGAGAAAGATCTTCCTTCCGTTGCTTCACCCCGTAAATGGCCGCCATGGCTGAAGCTACGCCGATCCGAAGCCAGGAGCCAGGTACTTCTTCCTGGTCTCCTACGTGGGTGCAGGCACCCAAGCACTTGGGCCATCCTCCACTGCATTCCTGGGCCATAGCAGAGAGCAGGACTGGAAGAGGAGCAATTGGGACTAGAACCCAGAGCCCATATGGGATGCTGGCGTTGCAGGTGGAGGATTAACCAAGTGAGCCACGGTGCCGGTCCCGCGATTCATTTTCAATTATCTTTATATACAGAAGATCAATTTAGAATATACTAAGTAAAGATTTCAACAGAGTGCACCCATACAGACACACAAAGTATAGAGTACTGTCTGAGTAGTAGTTTTACCATTAATTCACATAGTGCAATACATTAAGGACAGAGGTCCTACATGGGGAGCAGGTGCACAGTGACTCCTGCTGTTGATTTAACAATTGACACTCTTATTTATGATGTCAGTAATCACCCAAGGCTCTTGCCATGAGCTGCCAAGGCTATGGGAGCCTCTTGAGTTCGCCAACTCCAATCTTATTTAGACAAGGCCATAATCAAAGTGGAAATTCTCTTCTCCCTTCAGAGAAAGATACTGCCTTCTTTGATGGCCTGTTCTTTCTGCTGGGATCTCACTCACAGAGATCTTTCATTTAGGTCATATTTTTTGCCACAGTGCCTTGGCTTTCCAGGCTAGCGAAACTCTCATGGGCTTTTTAGCCAGATCCGAATGCCTTAAAGGCTGATTCTGAGGCCAGAGTGCTGTTTAGGGCATTTGCCATTCTATGAGTCTGCTGTGTATCCTGCCTCCCATGTAGGATCACTCTCCTTTTTAATTCTATCAATTATTATTTGTAGACACTGGTCTTATTTATGTAATCCCTTTGACACTTAATCCTATATTTTTGATCAGTTATGAACTGATCACTTTAACAAGTAAGTTGGCATTGGTACATGCCACTTTGATGAGATTGAATTGGAATCCCCTGGCATGTTTCTAGCTCTACCATTAGGGCTAAGTCCGAGTGAGCATGTGCCAAACTGTACATCTCTTCCCTCTCTTATTCCCACTCTTATATTTAACAGTGATCACACAATCAAGCTATTTTTTTAGACACATGTGGGTCAGAGTAGAGGCCAGAGTCCTGGATTCCCACATTAGGGACCAAACACAGGACCTTGATGTCCCTCTCTTGCTACCATCCTTTGTGTTCTAATTTCTCAAAGAGCAGTCCCTCCAGGAGCAGTAAGAACAGTTGATCCTTTATGGCATTAAAGAATCCTTACCTGTGCTTCTCAAAATCAGAAGGAAAGAGAAAAAGAAAAGCTGGAAAAAGCAACATGTTCCTCTATGGAAAAGTAAATACAAGTTCTACATTTTAAGGAATTACTTTTATACTGTCTTTTAGACTGTACCTCATCAAGAGCCACATTCTGAACAGATGTTGACTGGTAAGCAACATTTCTGATATAACCCATCAGTTCCAAAAGCCACTCCATTCTCTTCAACACACCTGAGAAGAAAAAGATATTTTTCTTAGTAGACCATAGTTTTCCTTGGAAATGTAAAACTGAGAAGTAATCACCAGAACAACTAACCTGATGAGGATACCATTAAATAATTTTTAAGTCCTCTTGGAATACCTGAGGCTTGTGACTGCCCCAACACTTTTCATATCAGCTAACTGTATTTTTTATCTTTATTGTCAAAACCTAATTTATTCTTCAAACCTCCCTGCCTGCAAGTGACAAAATGCTTTTACTGGAATTTTTCTTAACATTAAACACACCGGGAGAAATCTGGCATGCCAAGTAGCCAGGAATGTTAAATCTTGGGTAATTAGTTGTTTTTACAGTCCTCCTTTACTTAAGTATTCCCAATTTATGCCAGAATCACAGAGGAAACCTAACACAAAAATACAAAAAGAGAAATAAAAACCAGCCATTGTAGGGTAACTGGAGAATAAGCATCAGCATAAATATTGATTTCTTCTTTTTTTTAATTGTTTAAAAATGAGAATTCCCATCACTGTAACTACTACTTAGGAATGTTTATCCAAAATTTAGTGAATAAGAGGAAAATGGAAATTACACTTGAGAGCTGGTTAGCTAGAACTAAAGGTAATATCAAACTTATTTTAGTTTATTACATGCATCTTCATGCTTAATTGTAAATGCCTTGTAGATTTCTTCCTGGTATACTTTTGGTTTAAAGTAAAAAATTCAGTTTCTCATCACAGGTTATTTTCAATGTAAGTGCAGCTAGAGTTCGGTATTATCCCCCCTGAGAAGTTCTTCTGTAGTGTTCAGTGACTACTCAAAAGCCATTTTCACAAAGTCACCTAACAGAATCTATAGATCTCTTGGGTATTTGGGAAATTGAAGTTCAACAGGCAGAAACAACCTGGTACACTAGTTTGTACCCCTGAAGGTCCAGTGGGCCAAATTAAAAATAAAATAAACCCTCAAAAAAATCTATTCCCTTCTCTAAAATATAGATATTGTGAGCTACAACTACTCATTTCCATCCAAGATACTTAGGGTAAGAAGGCTTACCCTGTGTATCAAGAAGCACGAAGTGAGTTTTTGTTTGAGAAAACAAATACAGCCTAAGAGGGACAGCACGCAGATCTATTTCCATTCTGGGAGTTCACCCCAGCCTGGCCTCACCTGTGTTAGCATGGCTCACTATCCGTGCCTGGTATAAGCCCTGCAGAATCATCCAGGCCAGCGTTTCTTTCTCATGGTGCTGCACAGCAACACTGATGATATCAGTCAAGCTCATCAAGGGGAATCGTCCTTGAGAGACTAAGTACAGTTTGACAAAGGCACTCTTTTCTATGTTGCTCTGGAAAAAAGTAAATTATTCAGTTGCTATTAAATTAACTGAAGTAGCTATGGAACCTTAGGGCAGAGGCAAAACAGAAAGGATGAGCTTGTGCTATTATTCTAAATGCTAAGCTGTCCAGTTCCAGCAGCATCTGACCTACCTGCCAGTGTGCTATATTAAAATGTACATACAATAGCAGGTTATAATGTCACCTCTTGTCTCTTCATAAAAACTGTAACTGTGTTCAGAGATTAGTAGGTAATGGTATTTAGTAAGTACATACAAATAATAGTGAAATAACTAGTACATATGGTACTTATCATATGCCAGCAACCATTTTAAGTCCTTAACATGTATTAATTCAGTTGCTTTCAAAATATGGTACTTACACATCTCGGGGATCTCCAGGCCTTTCAGAGATTCTGTGAGGTCAAAACTCTTCTTATAATGGCACCAAACTATTCTAGTATAAAAACTATTCTAATATGAAAAATTTGTATTTTTCACTGTCATATGTAATTTTTTAAAGGCTATTCCACTTAAAGTATCTTTGTAAACAATAAAAATTACTAATTTCATTAGCCCTTGGCCCTTGAGTATACATTTTTTTTTTTTTTTTGACAGGCAGAGTGGACAGTGAGAGAGAGAGACAGAGAGAAAGGTCTTCCTTTGCCGTTGGTTCACCCTCCAATGGCCACCGCGGCCGGCACGCTGCAGTCAGCGCACCGCGCTGACCCGATGGCAGGAGCCAGGTACTTATCCTGGTCTCCCATGGGGTGCAGGGCCCAAGCACTTGGACCATCCTCCACTGCACTCCCTGGCCACAGCAGAGAGCTGGCCTGGAAGAGGGGCAACAGGGACAGAATCAGGCGCCCCGACCGGGACTAGAACCTGGTGTGCCGGCGCCGCTAGGCGGAGGATTAGCCTAGTGAGCCGCGGCGCCGGCCGAGTATACATCTTTTTAATAGGATGTGTGACATACCAGGAAATACACAAAAGGGACTTGCATCACACACCCAGGTGTAAAGGTTGTTTTGTCTCAAGGAAAAATACTGTAAGACTGAAATAGCAACTCTTTTCATGGAACACAATTTACTTGAAAGAATATCTGATGTGCAAACTATGGTTATTCAAACTGGATATTTGACAGATTATTTTCTTAAAATTGAAGGATGCAATCCTGCTACTTTAGAGAAAATACAATACAGTATTTTTGGCCAATGATAAAATCTGAGCCTCCAGGTAAAAATCTGATTCTTGGAAAATGTATTATCTTCTCCTATGAGCTTGGTAGCTTCCTAATATGTAGAAGGCTTTTCTAATCAGATTGATGGTTATATTGATAAATATGATGGTTTGATATTATATAATGAAATGTATCAACATTTGGAGGAGCTCCAAAATTCAGTGATCTAATACTTTCCAAATGACCAACATATGACATTACAAAATTATGCCTGGGTAAAAGACCCAAAGTGCATGACAGATCAATGTTTCTGACATAACAGAGTATGTGAAATTCACTGACACAGTGGAACTAACAGTTTTTGAGGTTTAGTGTAATATCAAAGAAGAATATACATAATTATCTGAGGAGACAATATGCCTTTACCCTTTCCAACTACATGTCTGCGTTAAGGCAAGAATCTCTGCACTTAGTTCATAAAAACATCACAACAGATTGAAAGTAGGAGTAGCCATGAAAATCCAGCTGTTATCAATTAAGACATATATTGGAGAGATTTCCAAACATGCTAAACAATGCCACTTTCACTGCTAATTTGTTTGTGTTTTGGAAATTTTTTTTTACAATTTATATTAAGATGTAATGCATTTTTATTATTACTTTGAAGCAAATATTTAAAAATTTTCCTGGCTTGAATTTCTAACAAGGTAAATATCAAAAATATATCATCCATATTAATAAAAGCACCCTCTCAATAATTTTTAAGAAATTAAAAGAGATCAAAACATTTGAGAACTGCTATACTAACCATTTACTTTGCACACCAACCCTCTGCAGTAGATTACTATTGTTATCATCCCTTATTTACAGATGAAGAAACTGAAGCATAGAAGTAAGGTAACTTTAAATAATTTTCAACAACTAAATTACATGCTTTATTTCCAACTATACTACATGAATACTAAAATAAGATATAACTAGTTATAGGACTGTAATAATTATGGTAATAAATAATTACTAAGTCCTCACCTAGGGCCAGGCACAATGTCCAGTATTTAGCATGAATCAAATCATTTAATTCTTGAAACAACCTTAAGAATAGGTGCTACTACCTTTCTTATACAAATGGGAAAACTGAGGCAGAGACCGGCCATGAAACTTAACCAGAGTCACATGGATAGTAAATTATAAAGTGAGATTTCAAATAACAGCAATGAGGCTCCAGAGTTCACCCTCTTAAACAGCTTCTCCCTGCTTAAAACAAGTAAAACAATCAAAATGCTGCTATTCCACATATTCTATACAGTAATTCACAAATCATAAGATGTACTAGAATCAAGGGCAATGTTGTGATACAGTGGGTTAAGCTGCCACTGTGACAGTGGCATCCCACATCAGAATGCTGGTTTGAGTCCTGACTGCAGTACTTCTAACTCAGTTCCTTGCTAATGTGCCTAGGAAAGCAGTGGAAGATGGTGCAAGTACTTGGGCCCCTGTCACCCACATAGGAGCCCCAGATGGAGTTGCTGCCTCCTGGCTACAACTTGGCCCAGCACTGACTGTTGCAACAATTTGGAGAGTGAACAAGTGGATGGAAGAGGTTGGCGCCACAGCTCACTAGGCTAATCCTCCGCCTTGCGGCGCTGGCACACCAGGTTCTCGTCCCAGTCGGGGCACCGGATTCTGTCCCGGTTGCCCCTCTTCCAGGCCAGCTCTCTCCTGTGGCCAGGGAGTGCAGTGGAGGATGGCCCAGGTGCTTGGGCCCTGCACCCCATGGGAGACCAGGATAAGCACCTGGCTCCTGCCATCGGATCAGCATGGTACACCGGCCGCAGCGTGCCGGCCGCGGCGGCCATTAGAGGGTGAACCAATGGCAAAGGAAGACCTTTCTCTCTCTCTCTCTCTCTCACTGTCCACTCTTCCTGTCAAAAAAAAATTTAAAAAAATAAAAAAAAAAACAAGTGGATGGAAGATCTCTTTATCTCTGTGACTCTGCCCTTCAAATAAATAAAATAAATCTTAAAAAAAAAAAAATTAAGAGAGATCCACCAGAATCGCCTGGAGAGACTGCCAAAACACAAGACTCCCGAGCTGCTGATTCAGTAGGCCTCAAGTGGAGAATTCACATTTCTCTCTTTTTAAAAGATTTACTTATTTATTTGAAAGGCAGTGTTAGAGATAGAGAGAGAGAGGGAGATCTCCCACCCGCTGGTTTACTCCCCAATGGCGACAATGGCTGGGTCCAAAGTCAGGAACCAGGAGCTTTTCCTGGGGGTACCACATGGGTGTAGGGTCCCAAATACTTAGGGGCCATCTTCTGTTGCTTTTCCCAGGCATATTAGCAGGGAGCTGGATCAAAAGTAGAGCAGCCAGGACATGGACCGGAGGCCATATGCGATGCCGGTGCTGCAGGTGGCAGTTTTACCCACTAAGCCACGACTCTGTCCCTGAGGATTCACATTTCTAACCAGTCCCCAGATGATGCTGATGCTACTGGTCCAGAAATCACACTCTTGAGCGTACAGTTATAGTGATTCAGAAACTGAAGTATCCAGCTGAATAGACAAACCTGCCATAAAGTGAAATAAATGACCAGATGTCCGCCAGATATAGGGGAGCTCACAGTTGTCTAGACCTGTGGTACTGGCTGACATGCAAGGTTACCATTCAAATAAGAACATCAATTAAACACCAAAACATTATTCATTCTTTATCTGCAACTCAAACTTAACAAACCATCTTGTATTTTATTTGTTAAATCTGGCAACTTCACTGATATGCTACATTTTGCTCATTCATCATTTGGGTGGAAGAATAGAAGTTACTTATAAATTATCCCATGCCAATCTCCTTTATACATTCCAAAAAGATGGTATCAGGTGAAGGAAAACAAATGAGAGAACGAACTAGTTGTTTATGGCTTCCACGTACCAGAAAGTTATTTGGTCATAATATTCCCATTCTTATGGCTACTATATTGCAGAAGCTGCTCTTTAATTGTAATTTCTGCCTCAATAATGAAAAAATATAGTGATACGTTATTACCTTAGTGATCTTGGAAACCCGACTGGCTTCATCATCTGTCATTTCTGAGAGGCATTTTGCTATGCTGATATACAGTTCTAGATCAACTCGCTGATAAAGAAAAATCCCAAATATGTCAAATATACTATATTAGCAAGTCCATTCTTAATGTTCTGACAAATTAATAGATTTGGTTATCCCCAAGAAAGCAGCTAATGACATTTTAATTTTAATCAAACCAAAATATATGGGTAATTTTCATGACTTTTAGAGCCATTAAGCCTTTGACTATAATGTATGTTAACAACAATTACCTCAAAGCAATTTTAAATAAATAAAAAAAAGGAATAAAACAAAAAAAGAACAAGAGTTTTGGAGTTCTATACTCATCTAATTGTTTTAATTTCAATTTTTTGGTAAATTTTAATCTAAATCATACTGCTTTTGTGAAAATTTCTATTTAGTGACAAAACAACGTTCTGGATGTTAAATAATCAGAAAGCACATTAAATGTTTAAAAATAAAAATTTCTGGGGCTGGCATTGTGGCACAGCTGCCACCTATGACCCCAGCATTCCATATGAGTACTGTTTTGAGTTCCAGCTGCTCCACTATCAATCCAGCTGCCTGCTAATGCACCTGGGAAAGTAGCAGAGGATGGCCCAAGTAGTTGAGCCTCTGCCACCCATGTGGGAGACCCAGATGGAGTTCCAGGCTCCTGGCTTTAGCCTGGCCCAGCCTCAGCTGTTATGGCTGTGTGGGAGTAAACCAGCAGATCTTTCTCTGTTTCTCCCTCTCTCTATAATTCTTTCAAATAAATAAGTCTCTAAAAAATAAATAAATAAAAAATTCTGAAGTAAAAAAAAAAAACTTCCCTGATAATTTATATATTTGTTTGGCTATACATACATTTTTATCCTTATCAGAATTCCACCATTTCAAATGGATTTTTAATTTCCTACATTTCAGAGGTCCATTGGAGAGAAAGGGCAATAATAAAGTCACTTTATACAAATAGTATATTAAACAATATGCCATGGATTCTTTAAGTATAACAATGTAAGGATTTTTGAGCTTGCTCATCTTCTATAGGCATTTGGTAAAACGTCCTAATAGGAAATTTCTCGGCACAGCACTGGTTACCCTGCTTTACAGTTTGCTCAAAACTTTAGATCTAAATATTCAACCTCAATTTAGATCTTGGAAGCAAACACACCTCGTGAAGAATGTGGTTATTTCTTGCGAGCCTTCCCACCCACATTCTTAAAACATACACCTTCCCACTTTGCCAAAAATGCTTTAAAAAAATCCCAAACATAAATTGTCAGGAATGTAAATATTTTTGTTCTTTACCCGAATCTTATTTGGCAGAAGGTCAAAAATTTTCCCAGTAGCTTCGCAGAGCACAGTCCAGAGGTGGTGGGCAGGGCTGGGTATTTTCATGGTCTGGCTGAGACCCTGTAAGGCACTGAGGCATAACTCAGGATTGCAAGGTGGGGAAACAGCTTTAAAAGCTGCCACCATTAAATTTTCAACAAAACCCAGGATCTGCTCATCAGAGACATGCTTTATCCAGAGAGGGCTAGAGAGCAGGAGGTATTTCTTGATATTCAGCTGGAAAATAAAACAGAAGAGGTCAGATGTAAACAGAAGTAAAGCCTGGGTTTGCAAGGCTCAAAGCCTCTAGGTCATGTCTATGTTTGAGGGTACACTGAGTAATAAAAAGTCCAGGTGTCTTCTTTCCCCCTCATCTTCTCACAGCTTCACGGTTCAGTAGACCACCAGTGCACACAATTTTGAGAATTGCAGTTCCCATATTTGTGGTATCTGCCGATCTATCTGTGAACTCCTCAGCCTTAACCTTAGATCTGTGATGGGAATAAAACACTACTTCTGAAAGCAAATGACAGTTGCTCCTCAGTTTTGAAAGGCTGCATTCTCTAGAAAGAAACTTGCTAGAGACTCATCTGTTGCAAATCAGTTAAACAGTATCTGATATTAATTTCTTCTTCTAGGGAAAAATAAGGAAGTAATAAGGAGAACTGGTACGCGGGGACCAATTCTTAGCAAAGCAGAACCACCAGCTGAGCACGTGCCACTGATCAAATGATCTTAGAGTTCACAGGAGACAAGAAAGGGCACAGTCAGCATCAGCTTTGCTGTGTAACATAAATGTTAAGAAAGAAGTGTAGTGCTAAAGGAACAGCAAGCCTAAACGATGTTGTTTAAGAAGTAAAGTCTGACAAATCTGAGTGTTAACAGGTCCCAAGTACATAACAAGAGCCCAGTAAGTGGCAGCTGAATGAGTGCCACTTGGAGTAGACAGGTGGGGATAGTGGTAAAGGCTGGCAGAAAAGATACTGACATCATTAACAAGTACCTCCAAATGAAGAGAACTGGGAGAAGTAGGAAAGTGTCAAAAACAAACAAACAAACAAGAACAGAGCAGAGTAGGACCTAAAGTCAAGACACTGAGGAAATAAGAGGACTGCACTATCCTCAAGCATTGAGGCCTCCAAGAGCAGAAAACAAATAGGCCAAATCATGGAACTAGTTCAGATGAAGATTGTTTAACTTATAATCAACTGATAAACCTCTAAGGAATCATGGAATGTGTTCTCCTGTCTTAGCTTGAAATGTACTCAAAAAAACCTTTACTAGCTTCATATCTTTAAACACTCTTCTTTTCTTCTCTAACCTTGGTTTTACATGGAAGGTGCTGGCCCCTCCTTCAATGGATCTCTTCTTCAGCATGGAGCTCAAGTTGAACACCTAGGGAAATGTTCCACTCTCTTCCCCTATATCCACTTGTGCCTGTGACTTGATACCTAGCCAAATCCTGCTGAGCATTCAAGGCTCATCTATTACTGCCTCCTCTGGGAAAGGGACGAGTAATATGTGGATGACTCCAGTACATGTGGACTGGCGTTTCTCTTAACACCTACTGCAATGATGATCTGTACTATATAATCAAATAAACCTAGGTTTGAACAACTCCACAACTTTCTAGTTGTATCATCTTGAGAAAGGTACTTTAATACCTCTGATCATCATTTTCCCATTTTTGTAATAAAGGGTAGCTGCATCATGAATGGTGATGGCTATGCTGAGATTCTGTACACATAATTTTCCAATCTGCTGCCCAGCTAGTATCAAGCCCTCAGTTTTCGTAAAATTCTACTTGTGCATTCTTTGCTTTTAGGACACACGCTGAAATGAGTGTAAATATCCCCCAAAGGAAACAAATCTTTGTTGCCCAACACCCTTAATTGTCACATACACTCAGGCCATGGATCAGTGGTGGCATCACCCACAAGCCCAACAGTGCAGCTGCATTCTGGGATGACTGTGCCTGGGTTACCATGATTTCAAGGCACAGTTGCTGTATTTCTTCACCTGAAAAAGAAGAAAGAAAAAAGAACCTCTGTAATGTATCTGTTTCTCTGATTCATTTTCAGGCTTTAAAGTCTCAAATCAAAGCATGTGCTTGTGGAACTTTTGCAGGAAGTAGAACTTCAGTAAACTAAGAGACTTGTTAGCTATTATACTGAGTGCAAAGGTGTCACAGTCCCAAGTCTTGCCACCAGCAAGGGCCTTGATGAGATTAAAATATTCTCTTATGATATCCAGAGAAACCTAAACACTCAAATACTATTTAAAATTTCAGAAAATTCTAGCTAAAAAACCTCTTAGTCTCTGTTTTTCATTGCTTTCCACCTAATACTGAGCACACAGGGAAATCTATCTGAATCTGGAGTAGTTTAGAGATGAAGTCACCTTCTCTAGTGACTGAATCTCTTTAGTAGTCTAATTCCAACCAGTCAACTTATTTTCCCAACCAGACCATTTCTTCTAAGGATTTAAGTAAAACATAAACATGTTCAATATATCACGTAAAAGCAGAGGAGAGGTATAGGAACATATTTTTCAAATAAAATCTCTAGATGCCCTTATGGTTATAGCTAAGCTTTGCACAGGGAATAAGTTCAAATGAAAGCATTTCAGCAAAAAATTGTGTATAGTCAAAATAATTTTTAATTGTCTCTTAAACTAAACATAAATGACTGTACCCAGGCCATTTTGTACATACGTAAATAAGCACTCTACTGCAGGAGCCAAAGCACCGATGATTATACAGACACAATTTTACAACACTGTTCAAATTGTGTGCTCTCTCTCTCCACCTCCCTCCCTCCTCTGCCTTCTCTTTTTGGATTTGGAGTGGGGAGCAAGTACATAAAATTCCATTTGCATGTGATAACTCCATTCTGTATATGAGAAGCTGCTGTGGTTGAACTAGATAAAAGTATTGAGGCATAAATTTTCTCTGCCTATACGTAAGAGACAGAATAATGGCTCCCAATGATGCCCACATCCCAAAACCTGGAACCTGTGAATGTATTACCCTTCTTTGCAGATGTGATTAAGTTTAAGGATTTTGAGGTGAGGAAAGTATATTGGATTATTTAAGCATGCTCATTAATTACATGAGTCCTTAAATGTAGAAAACCTTCCATGGATGCAGAGAACCAGAAAGTTCATAGTATAAGAAGGTGTCAGACCTTCCTTGTTTACTTTGAAGATGGAAGAAGTGGGCCCAGTAGTCAAAGAGTAGGCATGGCCTCTCAAAGATGGATAAGAGAAGGGAATGAATTCTCTCCTAGAGCCTTTAGAAAGTAATTCTGCTCTGCTGATACCTTGACCTTAGTCTGTTAAGAAGCGTGTTGGACTTTGACCTATACAAGTATAAAATTCGTGTTGCTTCAAGCTACTACATCTACCATAATCTGTTAGAGCAGTGATAGAAATGTATTATAGTATCCCATAAGGCACTTCGTTGAAATTTAGGGTTCTGGAGGTACAGTTTGAGAACCACCAGACCAGGCTTTATGAGACCTGTACCACACACACAACAATATGCACACTTCAGTCAGGTACTGCTTTTGAAGAGTATATGTTGGCCTGTATTTGTAGACCTCTTCACAACCTTGGTTGTGGGGAAAGCACTCAGTGGAAGTAATCCAGCCACTCCACCCAGATGACAAACTTCAAGATCCCAAAAATCTCTCTAGTTGTGACACAAAATCTTTTTTTTTTTTTTCATTTCAGATCAACTTCTAAAAGCAAAGTGTAAAGACCTGAAAACCTGATATTTACCAAAGTTTAGCCTCATAAGTGGAGAGAGGAGTGCAGCCCAGTTCACAGGAGGATATTGGTAGCTTTCTCCAACAGCTGCTATGGGTTTCATCACCACTTTGAGAAAGGGAGGAGGCACAGATTCTGGACCTGCCAGAGAAAGGAAAAAATAATAAAAATCTTCATAGTATCATAGAAGTGGAAAATGTCAAATTGCATTCTTTTTTTCTAGTTCCAAAAGATTTGTTATCATATCTTCAAATGTGGTAAACCCTTCAATTTTGTGCTGTTAAATCTCAGCCTCATTTGCTGCAAAACCTTGGTCCTTCTATTCTCTGTCTTATTTGTCTCTAATCTTTTCCTGTTACCTGGATACACATATTCCATGTTGTTCCACAGTTGTCTTTCACCCACAGATGCTAACAAAGGGGAAGCAGACATGGGGCCAAAGTCAGCAGAGGGAAAATCAGCAGCTGAAAGGAGAAGCACAGGAAAAAGGAGAAGCAAAACCAGAACAGGGAGGAAACCCACAGATGCTAACAAAGGGGAAGCAGACATGTGGCCAAAGTCAGCAGAGGGAAAATCAGCAGCTGAAAGGAGAAGCACAGGAAAAGGGAGAAGCAAAACCAGCAGAACAGGGAGGGAATCCACAGATGCTGACAAAGGGGAAGCAGACATGGGACCAAAGTCAGCAGAGGGAAAATCAGCAGCTGAAAGGAGAAGCACAGGAAAAAGGAGAAGCAAAACCAGCAGAACAGGGATGGAATCCACAGATGCTAACAAAGGGGAAGCAGACATGGGGCCAAAGTCAGCAGAGGGAAAATCAGCAGCTGAAAGGAGAAGCACAGGAAAAAGGAAAAGCAAAACCAGAACAGGGAGGGAACCCACAGATGCTAACAAAGAGGAAGCAGACATGGGGGCAAAGTCAGCAGAGGGAAAATCAGCAGCCGAAAGGAGAAGCACAGGAAAAAGAAGCAGAGGCAAAACCAGTAGAAAAGGGATGGAAGCTATAAAAAGTGCTATAAAGGGGGAAGAAGCAGTGAGGCAGAGTAGGCAGAAGAAAACCAGCAGCAGAGAGAATCATAAAAAACAGTAGAGGAAAACCAGAAAAAAAGGGAGGAAAAGGAGAAGCATAGGAAAATGGAGGAGCAAAAGCAAAACCAGCTTAAAGGGATGGAACAAACAGATGCTAAAAAGCAGAAATGGGGGCAGAGCCTGCAGAAGGAAAAGCAGCAGCAGAAAGTAAACGCATAGCAAAAAGGAGAAATAGCAGAAAAAGGTGAAGCAGAGGCAAAGTCAGCAGAAAAAGGAGCAGGATCAGCAGATGCTAAAAATAGGAATCAGAGGTGGAGGCAGCAAAAGTCAGCACAGAACAGAAGGAAGCTTCCTCTACATACACAGGGAAAGCAGTGAGTAGAACCTGAAAGAAAGCAGAAGCCGAGGCTAAATCAAGGGAAATCACAGGGAAAGCAGAGTGTATCTTTCCCGGTTTTTTGACTTGTGGCATTTAAGGAAATCACTGTGAAACATGAGCTGATTACAAGCCAAAGGAGAGAGCCATCAGGGACCACACATAACAAAGCATACAGGCTTTAAAATACAGATTTTAAAAGTCACTAGACACATAAACAACTACAGCCCACAGCCAGAAACAGAAACAAGTACTGCTCAAGAGGGAAGAACTGATATTCCAAGTTAATATTCAAAATGTTGTTTTCAAAGTTCTGGAGATGGTTCATGGTGAAAGTTGTACAGCCATGTTAATATACTAATGTCAAAATGTTGCACACTAAAAATGGTTAAACTGATACATTTCCATGGATATTTTATATAAATTTTTTTAAAAATTCTTGGAATAAAGTTGGATTTTTACACCTTGAAAAAAGTTCAGTTTCAACAGCAAAAATATGGAATATGAAAAGAAATAAGAGGGGCCGGTGCTGTGGTGCAGCAGGTTAAAGCCCTGGCCTGAAGCGCTGGCATTCCATATGGGCGCTGGTTCTAGTCCCAGCTGCTCCTCTTCTGATCCAGCTCTCTGCTATGGCCTGGGATAGCAGTAGAAGATGGACCAAGTCCTTGGACTTCTGCACTGATGTGTGAGACCCTGAAGAAGCTCCTGGCTCCTGGCTTTGGATCGGCGCAGCTCCAGCAGTTGTGGCCATCTAGGGAGTGAACCAGTGGATGGAAGACCCCTCTCTCTTTTTCACATTTCTCTGTAATTCTTTCAAATAAATAAAATAAATCTTTTTTTTAAAAAAAAGATAAGCTCCTTTGGCAAAAAGAAGAAAAGAAACATGAATGTTTGGTCTATTTACAGAAGAAAGAAATAAATAGAAATTATCCTTCAGGAAGCACAGACACGGACTTACTAGCCAAAGACTTGAAAGCAATTGTCTTAAATATGCTCAAATAGGTAGAGGAAACCTTAGAAAAATAACTAAATAAAGGGAATGACACATGAATGAATAGAAAATATCACTAAAAAGATTTTTCAAAGGAATCAAACAGAAATTTTGAAACTAACAAAATATGGTAATTTTAAGGAAAAACTCAGTAGAGGATTTCACTAGCAGAACTGAGAAGGCAAAAAAAAAAAAAAAAAAAAAAAAGAAAGAAAGAGAGAATCACATAAAAATAGGGCAATTGATTCTGGCCTCAGAATCAACCCTTGGGCACCTTGGGCATTCGGAACTGGCTAAAAGGCCCATGAGAGTCTCACAGGCATGGAAGGCCATGACACGGTGGCAAAAACAACCTAAATGAAAGATCTTGGTGGACAAGACCCCAGTGGAAGGAATAGGCCATCAAGGAGGGAGGCGCCTTTCTCTGAAGGGAGGAAGGAACCTCCACTGTGATATGGCCTTGACTAAACAAGTTCAGAGTTGGTGAACTCAAGGGCTTCCATAGCCTAGACAGCCCATGGCAAGAGCCTCGGGTGATTGCTGACATCATAAATAAGAGTGCCAATTGTTAAATCAACAACAGGAATCACTGGGCGCATGCTCCCCAAGTAGGATCTCTGTACTTAATGTTTTTTACTATGAGAGTTAATGATAACACTACTAGTCCAGCAGTACTCTAGATCTTGTGCGGTTGTGTGAGTGCAGCCTGTTGAAATCCTTGCTTAGTGTATACTAAGTTGATCTTCTGTATATAAAGATAATTGAAAATGAAACTCGATGAAGGGTGGGATGGGAGAGGGAGTGGGGGGGGGAGGGCCGCGGGAGGGAAGGAGGTTGTGGGGGGGAAGCCACAATAATACAAAAGTTGCACTTTGTAAATTCACATTTATTAATTAAAATAAAATAAAATAAAATAAAATAATAGGGCAATTGACATTATTTCACCTAAGGAGTAGAAATTTAAAAAAGGGAAAATACTGAATGGCACCTAAGGATACCATCAAGTGTATCAACATTTGGATGATGTGAATTTCAGGAGAGGACAGCGAGAAAAGCAGAAGGAATATCTGAAAAAATAAAAGCAAAAAATATTTCCCAAATTTGATGATAAGACACAGATCTGATCATTCAAGACACTCAGCAAAATAAAAGAAAGAATAATGAACAGAGATTCACAAAACACACTGGAGTCAAATTTTCAAAAGACACATAGAATTTTGAAAGCAACAAAGATAATCTTTTTTTTAATTATTCAGGAATATTTGACATTGTTTTTAATCTTTTTAAGAAATGATTTCGTATTACCCCTTTTATTTACTTATTTTTTCTGTTTCACTGCTTAAAAACATTTTATTTAAGGTATATAAGTTTCATCTATTTTATATATACAGGTTTAGAAACAGTGATACTTCCACTCTACCCTCTCTCCCCACCCATGATCCTACCCTTTTTCCTCTTCCCTTTCCTATTCCCACGGTTAATTTTTACAAAGATTTATTTTCAGTTATATTGATAAGATTAACCCTACACTAAATAAAGAGTTCGGCAAATAGTATGAAGAAAAACAAAACAAAACACTTTTTCTCAATATAGAGACAAGACTATAATAATCATCGAATCTCAAAATGTCAATTTAATTCCAATACACTACATTTTAGGTACTCAGTTACCACAGATCAGGGAAAACATATGATATCTGTATTTTTGAGACTGGCTTATTTCACTAAGTATAATGGTTTCCAGTTGCATCCATTTTGTTGTAACAGACAGGATTTCATTTTTTAACAGCTGAGTAATACTCCATAGTATTTATATACCATAATTTCTTTATCCAGTCAACAGTTGATAGACATATGGACTGGTTTCATATCTTAGCTATTGTGAATTGTGCTGCAATGAACATAGGGGTACATATAACTCTTCCATATGCTGATTTCATTTTGTTTGGATAAATTCTCAGGAGTGGGATTGCTTGCTCAAATGGTAGATCTATTTTCAAATTTCTGAGGTATCTCCACACTCTGTCTTCCACAGTGGCTGCACCAGTTTAGTAGCAAGGGAACCTTAATAAGATTAACAGCCAATTTGTAATAAGAAACTATAGTTTCTCAAGAAATAGGATAGCATTTTTAAAGAGCTGGGGGAAAAAAAAAAACACACAAAAAACCCCTGTCATCTAAAAGTAATATATTAAGTAAAACTATCACTCAAAAATCAAGGAGAAATTAAGACATCCCAGATTCACAAAATAGAGGGAATCTACCACTCATAGACATGGTTAGAGGAACTGCTAATTGGATAGCTGGAACTGTGGGTGCGTGGATTAAGCCACTGCTTGAATAGCATCCCACATCAGAGTGCTGGTTTGAGTCCTGACTGCTCTGCTTCCCATCCATTTCCCTGCTAATGCACCTGGGAAAGCAGTGGAAGATGGCACAAGTATTTTGGCCCCTGCCACTCACATGGGAGTCCCAGATGGATTTCCTGGCTCTTGGCTTCCACCTAGCTGTTGTGGTCATTTGAGAAGTGAAACAATGAATAAAAAAAAGCACTCTTTCCCTCTCTCTTTCTCATTATGTAGGTCTGTGTTTCAAATAAATGAGTTATATATATATATATATATATACACACACACACACACACATACACACATATGCATATAAATACCTTACATTTCAAATAAGTCTTTAAACATGTATGTGTGTATCTACAGGTATACACACATATACATATATACACACAAGTATA